GCATATAAAAATTTTAGTCCCAATTATTATGTACACTTTTGAACAATTAATAAAGTTAGGGTGGCCAATACTTTTGTATTTGAATAGTGTTAAGCGAGAGACAAAAAGGTTTGGTGCCTGAAGCTGGTTATCGAATTTATCACGTAATCACTATAGGGAGTCCGCTAATCTATTATATTTTTGCACACGACATATTGTGTGTGGCTATTTGGTTAACATTCATGAGTCTGGGTGTTATCGCCGTGGATATGATGGAACTTGATGCAATAACAATAACAATAACAATAACAATAACAATAACATTCAAAAAAACTTCTACTCTGACATAATATAGTATTAATGTTAGCATTAATAGACTTGGAGGACGTTAACAGATTTTATCGCTGGTCACATCACAGCTTACCGTATATTTCCTGAAAACTCACCAACATTTAGAAGCCGCTTATGATTTGGTTTCGATGGCAGTTTAATTTGCCAGAAACGAACTGCTGTGAAAGCAAGATCAAGCACGCTTCTTGTTAGAACAGTTGTTTCAATTCATTGGAAAAATTTATCGTACGTGTTCATACAACATCCAACTCGTCCACCAAACATAAAATTGTGTTGGTCAGCCCTTAGTTGTTTGAACAAACGAAGTAGCTACTACCGATATAAAGTCACGTCACTTTTATCAAGATTTATTTTATTTATTCAGAAAGACTGAAAATATGCAAACACAGCTAACATAGTTGGATATTGGACCAAAGGTTGATACCAGTTTTTGACTTAAAGGTGGAAGCACATTATTATTTTGTAGAATAAAATAAAAAGTATTGAGATTGATGATACTTCAGCAACGAATTAAATTGCCTAATAATAAAATAACTGCTGGCTTAAAATCTCCTGACAAAAATTCGTTGCCTTAGAGATTACACAACGTGAAAGTGGTATAACGGATTCCACGGGGCAGGCATACAATCCGTTACATCGTGACAATTCGTTTTATCGAAAACCGATATAGCGAACTCAGAGAATGTTCGACATAGCGGTTTTTATTTATTACTTGATATTTATTAAGTTTGTCAATGTAAAATTATATTCGTAAAACAAGAAATTGATCAAAATTCGTTTGTTTGTTTGTTTGTTTTTCATATTTCTTTAATAATGGTCTGATTGCAATCATGGGCCATTGTTAGTTCAAGCATATTAATATTGATGGTAAGTGGCTTTTACCATTGGGCAACCTTGCACCGTTTCCAGAACTCTCCGTTATTCGCTTGTGGCACAGTTGTTTCGTCCAAAGCTAGAAACACCGGCGTTTCCGCACCTTGATCTATTGAAGGCAGGAGTTTTATATTAATTCACGCTACCGTCCCACCATTAAACACACTGTTGCGCAGATCGCATACCTGTTGTTAGAGTTGCCGCAGGTCCGGCCATGTCAGTCCTCACCCATCCTGGGCAACAAGCACTAACCAAGATGTCTTTTCCTTCGCTGTTAACACGACGGGCAAGTATCCTTGTCAGGGCGGTGACGCCTACTTTACTCATACCGTATGCTACATTAACGTTATAATACATATTCAGTTAAAAACAAGGACCATGCCACAAGTACGCATAATGTGAATGTACAGGAATGCTTGACATAATACAGTTTGTTGGCCATCCTTCTTCCGCCCAAGTTCCTTTCTCCACAGCATCCTGTTTTCAAACAACAATAACCAAGTTAACAGCAACTCACACTATCAAACTCCCTCTTCCTTCTTCCCCAACATGCGCACTAACAAACCTCAAACTTCTTCATAAGAGCAATCAAACCATCAACGTCTAAATCGTCATTGGTGAATTCCCGAGCGAGCTCTTGGCTGAGTATGCCCAATCGACCGGCGGAGCTCGCTATATTGATCAATCGACCTTCGGGCCTGATTATCGGTAGCAGGTAATTGCATAGTTTGAGCGTACCGTAAAAGTTTGTTGCAAACGTAGTGCGAACTACGTTGACATCAAACGCAGATCCCTTAAATGCTACCACCGACAAAACATTCTTAGTTTAAAAACCAGTTCGTTTGTCCAAACTGATAGACTATATAGAACAATTTCTCAAAATTAAATTTACCCATTGCAGCGTTGTTAATCAGGATATCCAACCCTGGAAAACAATTCGTTAGCTTAGATGTTGTAAGAGTAATATATTAAGATGTTCGTTGTTGTTTTTTTAATACCTCCGTGATTCTTCAGTAAATCTTCTTTGGCGTTCTCCATTGTCTGTTCATCGGTCAGATCTATCCTCATGAACTTTAAATCGACATTTCCTCCATCATCACTCAGAATTTTCTGGGGCTTTAATTCTTTCTGAAGCTCAGTTAGGGATGTTTCGCCCAGAGACTTGTTACGCGCCGAAAGATAAATAGTAAGAGATTGGGTGCGTTGCAATTCGGTATATTTCAATGCCAGATTCTTGACTATTGCATAACCAATGCCCTTATTCTGTTGTGCGAATTCGATTGAAATTCTTTTTTAAAAAAGAAATCCGAGTTTGTTTTTTTTTTTTTCATATACGATGATACGTAGGGACAGCTTACCGCACCGGTGACGAGCGCAACCTTGGCCATTGTCCTAATTATTGAAAGACGATGTGGAGGAGAAAATAGCGTTTATATACGTAATTTCTATCGCATTGTATTAGGATTACTAATACTAATGACTTTATTGGCGTAAGTTTAATGTGAAACGTGACAGTTTACGCAAAAAATACGAAGTGATTATCATGGCTAAGTTTGGAAATTCGCACGCTGATCGGATACAGCGTGCTGTACTACAATAATGACACCAAAAGTTAGGAACCCAATTGTCCGTCTATATCATTCGATGCTATCAACCATCTGTAGCATCTTCTTCATCGTGTCTGGCCCTATCTGGTATTTTGTATTCGATGTTTCTAGTGGCTTAGAATGAGAGAATTGCCTTGGCTGAATGTCAGTAGCCTAACGGAAGCAATCAAGCGTAAGACGTTGTTTATGTGAGATGCCGTGTTTTGTGTGTGTGTTTTTTTACGAAACGATATAAATCTGAGGATAGCACACCAGAATTGTCTTTTTCTCATCAAGAGCTTTCCATGAACGTTTTACATTTTCAAGTATTTGGTCAAGATCGACACATTGTCTAAGACATTAAAAATTGCGGGCGACATTAGTATATGCTATTCGAGAGACATTAACACTCGGTATGATCGCGATTTGCCTACTTCTTTATCTGCTCCGTTGCTTCCCTTCTTTTTTGTAACTGATCCTCCATTATCAACCGTAATGTTTCCCTGCCCTACATAACAAGATTGCCGCCAGTCATTATATATGTCTTGTAGGCTCGACAATCGTTTATATCAATCGGGAACTTCACCTGATGCGGTCTAAATTCATTTAGTAAATGCTTCATGTTTACGAATATGGTTTCCAAATATTTCGCCTTGTCGGCTGACTGGTCATAGCAGATGGTACAAGCTGATTAGAAAGTTCAAGCTAATAGATATCATTATTATAAAGCAAGATAAAAGTACCTGTTCCGGTTGGTTCATTAGTGTGTTAAGCAAGTCAACGAAATTAGATATTAATGATTGATTTAGTTTCTTTAGCTCTACCACAGGATCTAGATTGGAAGAAATGATACATTTGGATGATCATTAATACTCGGCCCAGCTAATACGCATGCGCTAGTCTGCACTTACCGATGTCTTCTTTTGGATATAACTGCTCTTTTCCTTGTTCTTCCAAAGACATCAACCGATCTTCAACCTAACACAATTCCCAATCGATAATCCGTCATGAGACTTTTCTTTTTTCAGAAATACATTCTGATTCAACGCTGTTTAACTAACCTACCGGCCATAAATCACCAAACATCTCATAATGACCTTCTATTATCGGCGGCGGAGGCTCCAGTTCCAGTACACTGCATTCTCGAAGTGAATTAATGGCGGGTATTACAGGTGGTTGAATGTTTGCTGGTAACTTTGTGGCATTCTCTCCTTCCGTTGATACGGATGGCTGTTGTTGTTGCCGTAGCTGCTCTTTATATCTTTCCAATAGGGCTAAATTTTCATTCGTATATCGCTTGTAGTATTCTGGTGGCGCTGGAAATACAGATGCGACTGACTGTTGAGAAGACATCTTTAATCATCGGCATTCGGACTTTGAATTTTTGTATAATCTAATATCGTGTTACATCAACTTGGTTACACTCATCATGTGAATTAAGAATTTCCGTTACAGTAGATTTTCCAGTACAAATTAGATATTGAGCGGCATTTCTTCGTCCGCTACGTTTTACCAGGAACATCTGTTGAACCTGACCTTCGGTGATATATTATTCGTC